CACTGTCATCTCTTTACTGGGCCACTGAAACAGGCTCCTGTCTGGTCTCCATTCCTCCAGTTTCCTTATCCTATCCACACCAGCCAGAGTGATCTTTTGAAAGCTGAAATCAGGTCAAGTTACTCCAGTTTTCCGAGGCCTCCAATGACATTCCATTGCAACCAAAGTAAAATCCAGACTTTATCATCATGCCCTACAAGGCCCTGCATGGTTTGGCCCCTGTCACACTGACCTTCTGTCTCTTGATCATGGCAAATTCATTCCCACCTTAGGACTATTGCACACACTGCTCTTCTACTCAGAATGCTCTTCCCTCAATTCTTCACATTTCTCCTCATTCAGGCTTCAACCCAAATAGACCCTCCTCTGAGAGGCCTTCCCTGACCTCCCTGTCTAAATCAATTCCATCCTCTATAACTCCTTATTATGTTGCCCTATTTTATTTTTGATAGCATCTTAACAGTACATCAAATTATCCTTTTTGTTTACATGTTTATTATCTGTCTCTCTCACTACATTGTACACTCCTTAAGAGCCAGAACTCTGTCACCTTGCCTACTTTTGTATCCCCAAAGCCTATTCAAGTGCCTGGCACATAGAAGTTGATACATAAATAGCTGTTGATTAATTGACTGAATAAAAGTACATAGGGTCAGAGTTGTTTATCCTCTCCCTATGCTTAACTGTAACCAATCACTTCTTAATTTAGACCACTCTGGTGGTCTTTAAAGCAAAGAAAAACCAAAAATTCGATAGATTTGTTACAATTAAAGCTTTCTTTGTTTCTAAGGTAACACTGTTATCTCTGAGGATAAGTCCATAAAATTCTATGGAAAAATTTAAAGATTAGTAAATTCTGGCTGGGCATGGTAGCTCATACCTGTAATCCTAGCACTTTGGGAAGCCAAAGCAGGTGGATCACTTGAGGTCATGAGTTCAAGACCAGCCTGCCATCATGGTGAAACCCCATCTCTACTAAAAATACAAAAAATTAGTTGGGCATTGTGGCATGCACCTATAATCCCAGCTACTTGGGAGGCTAAGGCAGGAGAATCACTTGAACCCGGGAGGCAGAGGTTGCAGTGAGCCAGGATCATACCACTGCACTCTAGCCTAGGCAACAGAGTGAGACTCCACCTCAAAAAAATAAAAAAGAAAAAGATTACTGAATTCTTTTGATCTTCATAACTTCAGAACTTCGTACAGCATAAATGTTGAGGGTCTCAGTAACATCAGTTCATCTGACTCTGAGGTATAATTCCCTTGCCTTACAGGTGAGACAGCAGTTGACCTGAATGACTTAATGGATGCTGTCAGTTACATCAAGGGTGAGTTGCAAGCTATAATGGAAAGATGTTATAAGTAACATCTTAATATTTGCAATTAATGTTGGAGAAGAATATTTTCCATTCACACGTGTTCAGATTTTTTCATATAACATATGCGCCATTTTTGTGGATGCTGCTGAAGTTGAGTAAACAATAACTAATCTGTATTTATATATCAGTGCCCATACTAGTCTCCAAAATTTTCCCCAAAAGAGTTCTTCAAAGTAGTAATAGATATCAAGAGCCACAGAACTATTCATACCCTTTTCCCCACTAACCCCACTCTTAGATATTTATCCTGTAGAAATAGTGTCTTATTGCCGAGCACGGTGGCTCAAGCTTGTAATCCCAGCACTTTGGGAGGCCGAGACAGGCGGATCACGAGGTCAGGAGATCGAGACCATCCTGACTAACACGGTGAAACCCCGTCTCTACTAAAAAATACAAAAAACTAGCTGGGCGAGGTGGCAGGGCACCTGTAGTCCCAGCTACTCGGGAGCTGAGCCAGGAGAATGGCGTGACCCGGGAGGCAGAGCTTGCAGCGAGCTGAGATCCAGCCCACTGCACTCCAGCCTGGGTGACAGAGCGAGACTCATCTCAAAAAAAAAAGAAAATAGGTTTTATTGAATAAAATGGAAAGAAATTTCTGGCCTAAGGACTTTCATCTCGTAAATATTGAGAAAATGAAACTGATTAGAAATAACTAACCATATGAGAATTACTACATAAACATGGTTATGTCAGTTTAATGGGATAACATGTTAAAATGCTAACTGTAAAGATTATATGGCAACTTGGAAACATGTTTATGAAGGAATAATTTTAGGTTGGAAAAGCAAAATATGGAATTGTACATAATTAGATTTCCACATGTAAAAGTACGGTCTTATTGCCAAGACGCAAAATGGAAGTCAAAACTAAAAATGGTTCCTGTGTTAGAGTGATGGAATTCTATCTTTCCCTGTTACATTAATCTGTAAATGTTGTACATAAAACTAAGTCTCTATATGTATTTTAATTTGTTGTGGATTGCAACAACCCACCAGTCAATTCCTAACCCCTGGTTACTTTCTTCTTTGTAGCCACTTCTGATCTTTCAATCAGAATTAAAGATTTTTGTTTCTGACTCTTGTATTCTGAAAGATAAATGTATTATAAGCACAGATAGTGTTCTTTGTCCTTTGCAAATAATTCTGTAATATTTCTACAATTTCATTTGCTCCCCTTTCTAAGGTGAGGTGATTGATGTCCAGAATTAGACAACTTTCTAGTAAGCCGAAGGATTGAGCCTCCACGGAAGAAGAAATGGAAGGAATTGATGATCTCTCAACCAACAA